CTTAAGTAGCTTGGAGCTGTGTGCGTGCAGCAGTTCTACGCGACGAGTGATCGACCATTTGTGAAAAGAGATGAACTCTCCAGAAAAAGCAGGATAGAATCCAGTGATCCAGAACAGCACTGGGGCTATCCTTTCTCCTCCCCCAAAACTCTGATCAGTCCCAGCTTCCAGTTGGTCCATTCACTCTGTCCTGTTTTCCTTCATCATTTTTTCTACATTGCTCCCTGTCTCAAGCTCCTTGTCTAATCAGCCCATCTCCTGCCTCCATCACATTTGTATTTTTATTGTTCTCTACCTCTTAGCCATCCTGCTGTAGTTGGTACAGAGAGAAGTAAAGCATCTGTGCATTTCTCACATATATTCAAAAGCAGGGAAGTAGGAGTCCTATGGATGGCAGCATCCTTTATACAGCTCTCATTTATGCTCTTGTTCTCTGCCTAAGATGGAAGAAGATGTGATCATGTAAATGATAATGCATATGCACAAAACAGCTAAACCAAAGCTACATAAGCGATTTTGATTTTGGAATTTTTTAAACTGTGAAGTACATCTGTTATATTTCTGTGTGTCAGGTTTGGGGGTATAATTTCCTTGCTTTTAAAAAGAGCAAGCTGAAAAGAAGCAGAAATTCCATAATGTGTGATTCTACTGGCTTTCTGTCAGGCCACCAGCCACCATGGGAACTTTTGATATCTGCTATATAGGTCACCTGAACTACTGTGGTAGCAAACAGCAGTAAAAGGTATAACGCTCTGCATGGACTGGCACCAGGAGGAGGTGGGGAACATTGCTGGTGTTTTTCATACATATTTGTTGACAGTGGAAGAGTAGTGAGAATCAGCAACCTTGGCTCCTGCCCCAGGCTGTAGACAGAAATGTATACACATTTTTTGCCTATATCCCAAGCTGAGATCCCTTCTGTCCTGTCCCTACTAATCTGTACTGTTCCCATCGCTTCTTCGTCTTTTATTCCTTGTTCCAGTTTTCAATGCAGTTGTTTCCAGTCATCCATAAAGTCTTCAACCTCTATAAACTTTCCAGAAAATAGTTTTCTAATGCGTGGGGTATAGAGACGAATTGATAGTGCGGTAGAAGAATTGATAGTGCAGCATATATATATAGCAGATTGTATTTCTAGACTGCATCATTTGGAAAGATTTCATACTTTTATGGCTTTGCCATGCATAGCTTATGTAGCAAATATCACATATGTGCTGGTAAAGCCTTTATATCACATTTCACCAATCCATGATCTCCTTCTGTGCTTTGTATAACACACACAAGTTATGTCTAATGCAGCTTCCTAACTGGGATTTTGCTAACATGCTGATTCTTTTTAAGCCCCAATCAGAACAAAAAATAGCAGACAGTTCAAATAATATTAATGAATAATATAATTCAGATAATATTCATAATCAAAAGATATGAGAATCTGAAAAGGTTAGAGAAAAGTTTATTTTGCTTAACAGTTATGGTCACTGTATTGCCTTTTGGTAGTTCTGGCTCCAGAAATTCCATCACCCACATTTCCTGGCTCCCAGAATAATAATGTTGCAGCTTTCAATTAAATCGTTCCAGGGTCGGCATAATTATTCCTTACCACCCATGCTTCTCTTCTGTAAGGCTTCTTGCTCAGGTTTACCATGCAGATTGTACAATTCTCCACTTTCACCCAAAGCCCAAGTGGAAACATGAGTCTTTGTGCATAGTTTATTGGCAGACCAAAGCAGTTACACAGCCTGGTCAATGATCTCCAAATAACAGAAGAATTTCTTCAGCTTTAATTCTCAGTTATTGCTGTTGGCAAAAAAAGAGGTCAACAGCTTTAAGGGTCTCCGAAGAAATTAATATCTGGCAAGAATCCAAGCTTTTCCAGCATTAAGATTTGGGTTATAGTACTTGTGAAAAGCAACTAATTTTTAAAGGACCTAGGGACTTATTGATGAGTAAACTTAACTATGACAGGAAAGCAATTAACAGCCCACCCAGTGACAGCTACCAATATTAAAAATATTCATAAGTTAAATCCAGTTTAATCTTACCCAGAGGCTTTTCCTTATCAGTTTTCCTTATTTACTCCTTATTATAGGAGGTTCTTCTAATGGTTACAGTTACTTCAAAACTGTAATCCCATTGTAGAATTGTAAATACTATAAAAAAGCAACATTTTGAAGCACTTTTAATCTTATTAAAAATAAAGTAAAAAAAAAAAAACCTAAAACTAATTATTGTTTTTAAAAGGACACACTTTGATCATCAGTAAATCAATCCCAGCCAAATTGCAGCATACTGACTGAGAACATTTCTACTCAGTGTACTACCAGTGCGGGAACCAGAGAACCTGGGTAACAGACTCCCAGAAAATGACAAACTTAGTTCTACTTAGTGCTACTTTCATGTAAAAATAATCATTCTTTTTCAAAGGCCATAGTTAACTAAGTATTAGCTTGGCCTACCATAGAACTGACTACCAAATTGTCAACATTTACCCTTGTTGCTCGGGTCAGTTTTCTGCCAGAAAATTGCATTAGTGCTTACATTAAAGAATCTGAATGTCAGAAAGATTTGCAGTTCAACCAGGTGCCTACAAGTTTGGATACTGATCTGATACTGTTGTAATATCCCCAGTCCTTCAGTCCCAAAGCACCTGTGTCTCTATGTA